GGTGGCCTCTTAGACACACAGAGGTTTGAGGACGACTTTGTCTCCTGTGTGTTTTAGGATCAATGGTTCATATGTACAAATATGCTTGATACAACTGATGTATGGATTGTTATAAGAGCTGTAAGGGCCCCCAAGAAAGTGATCTTAAATAAAAATGGTTCAGTTCCGTGGAGGAGAGCTGGCAGGAAGGTATGATCTGAGAAGACACATCAATATTCATCCTGGTCAGTCTATTAAGGCAGACAATGCAACACAGCGGGGCCATGGTGGGGCAGCGGGTTATGTGTTGGGCTGATAACCTCAAGGTCAGTGGTTCAAATCCACTAGCTGCACCTTGCTCCCATAAAGATTCACAGCCTTGGAGACCCTGGAGAGGATCGCCATCAGACAGAGTCGGCAGTATGGAAGTGGGTTTGCCTTTGGGGTCTGGCATGCAATCAAGGTAAAGATCAAGCCAGAAACCCCATATGAAGACAGATATTTACTTCTTCAAGTGGCCAAGACTAGGAATGAGCTATCAACAAGCCGAGAGAACATGAGCTCTCAAATCTATCAAGAAACCTTCTCTCTGGGCCAGGCACCAGGCTCAGGTACTAAGCCACCTTGTTGTAGAGTCGCAGCCCCCCTAGCCCTGGACAGACCCTTCACACCTCAATCCTTCCACTGCAAGGCTTTACCTGAGGCCAAAATTTTTCTCCTAACAAGAAGAGCTTGGGTAAGTCTACCAGCCAATGCAAAGTGTGCTATTTTTCTCTCTCAAGATTGTCTGGCCTTGAGAACAGAAGAAAGTGCCCTGGTGGGGGGTGGCTAAAGCCATCGGTTGCTAACCGAAAGCTGGGCTGTCAGAACCCACCCCACTGTCCTGGGGAGAAAGACCTGGCTTCCTTAAAGATACCAACTGAGAAAACCCTTTGGGCAGTTTCTACTCTATCACAAGAGGTGTCTATGAGTTAAAAATCAACTCAAAGGCACTTAAAAATAACAAGAACTAAAATACAGCCCCTCCCACCCACCCAAAAAAAAGAACCTAAACCAGTGGCCTTTGAGCACCCTCAGACCCACGGCGACTCCCACGGAGCATCGGAGCAGAACTTCCCTCCAGAGGGTTTTCACTGGCTGGTTTTGTTAGAAGCCGGTCATCAGATCCTTCTTCAGAGCTGCCTCTGGACGGGCTCCAGCCGCCAACCTTACCGTCCGTCCGCAGTAAGTATGTTAATGTTGACATATAGAAACTCCCCACAACTGGACCAATAGGTAACCCTGTGATGAAGAGTGAAGCCGTCAAGGATGTTGCCTTGCTCGGATCCACAATCAGTGCTCATGGATGCAGCAGTCAAGAGAGCCAATGACGCATTGCACCAGGTAAATCTGCTGCAGGAGAGCTCTTCAAAGTGGTGGTTACTTTGAGGACTACAGTGCGCCTGACCCAAGCCATGGGATTGTCGTTCACCTCCAAGACATGTGAAAGTTGGCCGTTGACTAAGGAAGACAGAAGATGAATCAGCGCATCTAGATGGTGGTGAAGAATATGAGAAGGACCATGGACTGTCAGAGGAACCAACAATCTGTCTTGGAAGAAAGACAGCCAGAGAGCTCCTTCGAGGCAAGGGGGACAAGACTGTCTTAGGAGCTATCAACATGTTGTCAAAAGAGACCAGTCCCAGGAGAAGGAAGTTGAGCCTGCTAACGTAGAGGGGCCGCAAAATGGAGGAAGGCGCTCATTGAGATGGATTAGCACAGTGGCTATAACAGTGCGCTCAAGCATCGCGGCAATTCTGAGGATGCTGCAGGACTGGGCAGTGTTTCGTTCTGTTGCGCGTAAGGTTGCTATGGGTTGGAGCTGACTACGGCATGTATATACATGTGTGACACATATCTGATTTTGTTGTGATCAATTCAAATCAGAACATTTACATTTTTCTACTGGTTACCATTATACATTTTAACTCCTGACCTCGTTTTCTCCACCCAAAGCCGTACCTATGTACTGACTGGCCCCTCTAGAAGGGGAAGAAAGTAGATCACGTTTCTGAGGTAGGTTTCATGGTGGGTTTCCATTTGTCTTCCTCCTGTAATTGTTTGGCTGGATTGTATCAGTGTGCTGACCTGAGCCCCTCCATGAACAATGACTGCTACTTCGGTTTACATTCTCTCACTGCCATTGAGTCCATTCCAACTCATAGCAACCCTAGAGGACAGGGTAGAACTGCCCCTGTGGGTTTCTGAGATTGTAACTCTTTATGGGGTAGACAGCCTCCTTTTTCTACCAAGCACTGGCTGGTGGTTTCAAACTTCTGACCTTGCGGTTAGATTAGAAGCCCAACATGTAGCCATA